AGATGCTTCTTCACTCTGTGATTACTTTTTTTTTTATAATATTTTATTAAAGTTTTAAAATTACAAAGTTAAAAGTTAGAAATGAAAAAGAAAATGAAAAATACAAATTATAAGAAAAAGAAAAAGAAAACATGATATAAAGTAAAGAAAAGAAAGAAAAACATAGAAAATAGATAGCTTCCAATCTATCTCTGGTCTTAAGAGTTCATTCTGTGATTACTTAAGAAAAAATTAGTTAAATTGACCACTTTGTGTATTATATTGTGTTAAGAATATTAATAACAATCTGCATGTCCTTGTGAGTATATCGCTGAGTTTTCTGTTGGAACAAAAACAGTTAACATTTGTTATAGATTACAGTACGCTGTTATCAGTATCCCCAGAAAATTGACCCCCAAGTCAAATAACTGAGAATTAAATTTGTCAGTGAACTGGTTCATTTATTCTTAAGTGAATCACTTAAGTCAAAGTTTGCTTAGTTGTGGTTAATTATGTGGTTAAAACCAATGGTTTTAAAATATGATGAATTATATCTGAATTGAACCTACCAAAGTAACCTACCGAAGTTCAAATAGTTGTTATTTCTGGTGTTAAATTTCTTATATTCAAAAACTGCATTTTGATAGTGTAGAGCTATATAAAAGCTATTAATGTGTAGATTGAATAATGTATAGATTTATTCTGTTACAGTGATTGGATAAAGTTATTTCCAATTTTTAAAAAACCTCATTACATAATACGAGGAACAAAAAAGCAAAGTAGGTTAATACTTTCCAAAATCGAATAACATTCCAAAATCCATGGTTAGGCAAAATTATTAGGACTAAAATGTATTCTGTGGCGTTGATCCTAATAAAATATTGACCAGCTAAGGATTTTGATAATATTTGAGATAATCTTTGCAGAAAAACACAAGGATATGTTGATTCAATCCTGAAAAGCAGCAAGCTCTTAAACTCCAAATAATGATTTGTTGAATGGAAACCATTTAAAATGGAGTCTAATGAATTGCTCCTGGGAATGCAACAGTATTTGCATTTCTTTGGAATAGGAATGTAAGGTTTTTCTATTTTTTTTTTTTTACTTCAGAGAAGTAAATTTGCATCTCTTAATTATCTGCTGCTTTCAGCTGATACCACAGTCCTTAATTCAAAATGCTAATGTTTTTTGCTGAAACAATAGTAGAATTGCAAACAAACTCTTTGAGTTCTTCTGGAAAAAAGCATTGTACTCTGCATTAAGACAACAACAGCTAATGGCTAATGCTGGTTAAAATTAGCAGTCTGCATTGCTATAGAACTGTTCAATCTTTAACTCCTAGAACCTAATTATGCTGTGCCTTTGATATTCTCTAAGTTTCAAAGGGGTCCAAAGACTCAGCCCTCAATTGTAGATAACAGAATAATCAAACATAAAGATTGTAAATTAAAGAACTGATATAAATACAGTACAGATAGCCTGTCCAGGAATCTTTTGGGCTTGAAGACTCTTTCAAGATCAATTTGTTTAGTTTCCTTGCTTGTTTTTATTTTCTCCTTAAAGATTTCTCTCTTGTTCATCTAAAATCTTTTTAGTAAGAAGGGAAAGTCATTTTAACATATTCCAGTGACTTCTGTAACCCAGCATGTTACATATTTTAATGATTTCAAACCCCATTTCCTCCATCCAGTTTTCACTTAGACATGAAATGCTTCTTATACCTTAGCAGTTTCTCCTGTTAATTATTGCATCTAACAATAATGTATATGACACATTTTAACAATGGCGGGGGGAAGAGAGAGATGGGTGCTAGCCCAATCAGAAATAACTTACGAAGTATATGACTGTTAAAATCAATAAGAAAATGTAAATATGAATATACAAAAATGCACAAAATGATTTTTTTTAATCTAGTATCATAGAAGTTAAATAAAGAAAAAATTACTTGGATCTCCCAAAGGGACTAGCAAATATGGGTGGAGAGACTATTTGCTATATTTTCTGGTAAACAATAGGTTTTTGCATGGATGGTGTTCTTGAAAGGGAAACATTAAGATGTTTGAGTTTCTCTTGGAGAACTTCAAAATGTCTATAGTTCTTTCCCTTATATTCTGTTTCTATGATCAGTTAAATCTGTTTTGCTCTTTGTGACACCATTTTGTCAGTTAATGTCTCTTCTAGCACTTTTCCAGCAAAAGTTGTGGAATACTGATGATTGCAATTAAGACCACCCTGCTCTTCCTTATCACTTGTGGTATTTGCTTCCCTTATCTTCATCTCTGTCTGCCTCTGGCCATAGCCATGCTCTCTTATATACCATGGCAGTAATTGCTACTGCTCACTGCTGCTGAATGTTTGATTGAAAAAGGTGATTGCATGCATAAAGAACACCCTTTGATCATAGAGAACAATGTACCCAAAATAATGCTGGATGCGCACATTTTGGCAGACAGAAAGGATAAGAAATATATGCATGTATGGCTGTCTGACTAATACAATAGGCTCTTCAAAATGTTACTCAACGCAGTATTCAAAGCAAAAGCAGATGCTACTTGGTTAAAGCTAAAAGTAGGTTCAGTGTAGACATTGGGAGGAACTTTCTAACTGTACTGTATGAGCTAACAACCAGTGAAACAAGTTGCCACATGAAGTGACACATTCTTTGCTGGAGGAATTCAAATAGAGGCTAGATTGTCATCTGTCAGATATGCTGTGGTGGATCCTGCACTGAGCAAGGATTTGGGCTGGATGGCCTGTGAAACTTTGTTTCTATAATCAGTCAGTTTAGATCTCCCTCTTTAAAGAACAGATGAGGGCATCACCGTTTCTATTTTTCAAACCTAGGTTTGGGATACTAACAGCATTAGTCTCTTTTGTAGATGACCTGTACCAAGAACTGGACTGAGATTTGGCAGGACAGGTGGCATTCAGTATCATCAATTGTGACTTCCTCATGGGGTATCTGACTGAGGTGGTATTTGGAAGTAACATTTTAGAGTGATTCTGGCTTAGTTGGATTCATTATTCCCATATGATGGTGCCTTTGGCTTGTAAGGTTCCTCAAGATGCAGATTTTTTTTCTCGCATACTGTACTTCCTACTTCTACATGAGTTAGTTGGTGGAAGTCATTCAAAATACTGAGATTCTATTGCATCAACATGTTCATATCCAGCTCTTTTTCTACTAATGCCAGTAAGAATGTGGAACTCTAAATCATGGTCTGAATGTGGCAGAATACTAGATAGGAACAAGGTAGAGGAACATCTAAGAGTGTTTTCAGAATGGATGAAAATTCTTTGGGAAATCTTCTACTGGTTACCAAGATGATGTAATATTAATATAAAACTGTGTTGTTGTTACTGTTAAAGTGAGCACCTTTTATTGAGATGCTATGCTAGAACTGGCATAGCATTGAAGTAGTACATATTTTGGATGAAGAATGGGAGACGCCTTTTTCCATTCTGCTCCTACTGCCAAATTAAAATGGCCATGCTTCCGAATGGCTGCTCTTCCAGTCTTGCTAATTGCCTTAGCAGATTGTGAATAGGCTTATATTTCTTTAAAATGGGGCTTAATTTGGAGATGGGTCCAGCATCCTCCTACCATGATGGGCACCCCAAAGGTTGTACATGCACAAGTCCTATTTTTACACTTTCAGAACTAAAATTTCATTGCCAACTTCAGTAACAAATTATTTATTTTCAGCAATATGACTTTTTGCTTTTAGAGGCAAGAAAGAGACAGATTCAGTAAATTAAATTCCCAAATGGTTTAAAACAGCTATTTTGCACTAGAACTCCCAACCCCTCCCCCAAATGAACCCAGGCTGAACATTTGGTCCTGCCCCCTTTGGTGATATCACTGCTTCAACAGACATATTCCTTGCAGTCCTAGTTTTTTTTTTTTCTTTTATGTGTAATTCACAGTGGAGGAAAATAGCTTTGCCCTTAAATTGAGAAGCAAATGGTCCTTGCAGTTTAAAGACTGAAGGAATGAGTGAGAAGCAGTTTTGAAAAATGTGTGTCTTCTGAATAATTCCACAAACTACACCAGAATAATTGTAACAGGCACACTCTTTTCCAGCTCCAGCAGAGAAGTTGTAGTGAGGGTCTGTAAAGTCAGTGCCTTGGGTTCCTTTGTAGAAGAAAAAGTGCATGGATGTAGGCTTCAATGAGCTTTCCCCAACCTTCCAGTTGCCAAGGCAATTTACCTGCATTGCATCCAGACATGTTGAAAGTAATGTTGTTTAAGTTGACAGCACACAGGTGCACATTTAATTCACAAATGGAAAAGGAAGGTGCCTTTTGTATGCCATTGTTCTTACCTGGATTTCAGGAGCAGAGAGAAGAAAAGGAAAAGAAGGAGGTGAATTCTTGTCTTCCTATTTGCTGTGTCCATTTTTGTGAATCAGAAATAGATTCTGTCAAATATGTAAAATAAAAGCTACCAGCACAATACACTACTGCTAACATCTCTCCCTCTAAGGAGCATAATACATAAATTCCTCATTTTGTTTCATGAATCTATATTTGTTTTATATATTACTAATTCATCTCGTGTCCTTTGCCCATGATGAATTAATGAACCAGGTAGCTATTTTGTGAAGGGGAAGGGGTTAGAAATATTAAGCCTGGAGTGACCAGTATACTTGTGAGTTGCTCTAAATGGCTGTTTCATGATATATCATTTCTTTTCAGGTTTTTGTCAAGCCGGCAAAGATCTGCGATTATCATCGCTGTGTATGGAACAGATTGATATCCCACCAGGCTTCCTGTTGGTGGGAGCCAAGTCTCCAAATCTTCCTGAGCATCTTCTAGTCTGTGCTGTTGATAAAAGATTTCTGCCAGATGACCATGGAAAAAATGCACTTTTAGGTAAATGAAAATTCATTCATTATTCCTCATAACGTGACAAATTTACAGTCCCTAGGACTGAATTAATGTTATATGAGATTGATTCACTGGAGAGCTTTCTCCCTGTATTATTCTGAAATAGTTTTTAAAAGTTCTTTCTTTAGGGAAAAATTGTTTGGGAGTCCTCCACTCCATTTGCTGGACTATATTTGTGAGTAGTATTAAGAGCATCTACTGTAGAGACAGGCTTGAGATACAAGAGAAAAGAGAAGTTTATTAAGGAAGTTACATGCTTCACTAGAATGACTATCTCTGAGCTTTCTTCTTCCTCATGGAAGAAGATATAATTGTTTGATATCACTTGGCTATAATGATTTCCTACCTGCTTTTCCCAGTCCAGAATACAAATAAAGTGGCATTATGGCTTTTTCTGTTAAACCATATAGGAGTGCTGTAATATTAGATGCAAATTAGCTTGTACACATGCCATATAAACTTGGTTGTGCCTAGTGCCTCCAGATGTGTAGGATTTCAACTCTCATAATTTTCCAACTATGACCTGTGCTGGCTTGGGTTTATGGGAAATGAAGTCCAACAAATATATGGAAGGTATTAGGTTTTGAAAGACTTTAGGAATTAGGAGGTATAGCTGCAATTTATTTCACTGCACTCTTTCAGTAGCCAGGAAATAATGGTATCTCCCCAGGATGAGATCAGAATTATAGCAGTAGCATGGGGATTACTCTGTAAGAGCCTATTTGTGGCAGGAACGTAAGTATCTAGGCTAGTCCAAGATCAAAGGCAGATAACGGAACAAAGCAAGGACTTTGGAGATTGGCATAGACAATTCAGATGAAACAAAGGGCAGCTGGATTATAGTGATCAAGTTTGCTCACATTGTTCACATGGAAATGAATGATTCCAAGAAGAATGACGTTACAATATTAGAGTTTGTGGATTCCTTTCATTCGGAACAACCAGTTCCTAATCCTTTAAATCAGCCTTCTGTTCCAAATAAATTTGGATTATAATTCCCAGAATCCCCAGTTCAGCTATGAATGCGCAACCAATCTGAGATCCTGCAAGGATGTGTTTTACATAGGTTTTGCAAATACTTTCTGTGGAATACCTGAATCTCTGTACAGGTAGTCCCCAGTTTAAGAACAAGTTCCATTCCCAAGGTCCTTACATTGAATTTGTATGTAAGCCAGAACAGTGTTATTGTATAATACGGCATAAGTAGTATTGTGTAATTAACTCAAACCATTGTTATTGCTACAATAGGCTCCGTTCTTAGCTATGGATCTTCTGTAAACTAGGTGTTCTTAACGTGGCAACTACCTGTACTGTGTTGCAATAGACTTTTGTGAAAAAAAATCTGTTCAATTGTCATTTAATTGCTTTATAATCCAGTGTTTCAGTCTCTTTTTGCCTAGTATTAATGCAAGTATAGTGACTTTTTAACTCTTAAAACCTTTTTTAATCTTTATAATGGAATACGTTTTCAGAGACATATGCAAAGGAAGGAGTTTTCTTCCTTTGCTTCTTTAGTAATGGGCCCATTTTTAGTTCTTGGCACATGGTACTCCTCCCTGAAGACTGAAGTACTAAGAAAGTTAAATTAATACATTTTGTGCGTTTAAGTCAGTCTTGACTCCTGGTCACTGCCTGGACAAGTCCCTGCAATTTTCTTAGCAGTATTTTTGGTAATAGTTTGCTGTTTCCTTCTTTCTAGATCTAAGAGAGAATGACTAGCCCAAAGTCACCCATGGCTTTGTGATAAAGGCAGGACTTTTGGTCTTCCAGTTTCTAGCCTTGAACCTTTAACCACTACACCAAACTGACTCTCACCAAGGAAGTTACAGTATAAGTACTTAATTTGCCTTTCAAGGTGCCCAGAGATGAAATGAACTGTTGTATTTTATTTGCATCATTTTTGACTACCACTGGAATTTACAGATTTGTTAGCATATATAAAGAGTTGAGTTACACTTGTGTCCTATCTTATTTCTTGAAGTACCTTCTCAACGGACACCGGAAAAGCTCTCTTTGTCAACTTGACTTGGCCTTATTTAGAAATCCCTCACTTCTGTATTCCAGACTATATTTTCTTAGCTTATTACATGCTGCAGAGATGGCTATTCTTACAAGGGATTCCATGGCTCAAAAGTTGAGGAAGTCTTCTGTTTTCAAAATTCTCTTGTACGGATATCCTTGGGTTACGACGGCAGTTGGAATTGGAACTTCCGTCGCTAAGAGATGTGGTCATAAAGTGTGATGTGACTGCATCATTTAGTGACAGCAGTCCTGGTTGCCGTTATAACCCCAGAACCATGTGGGTTGCTAAGTGGGAAGAGGAGGGAGTCTGAGGAGCATTGGGGGTGCTGTGGGGAGGTTGCCGTGGACAGGCGCTACAGAGCATGGGGGTATGTGGTTGCTACAAGGGGTGGGGGTGCACTGGCAGGGGCTGTGGGTGGGATGGTGGGGTTCTCAGGCGCAGGTGGGAGGATGCCGCAAGTGGGTTCCACAGAGCACAGGGGATCTGGCAGGAGGGTGCTGCAGGTTGGTGTGCACTATGGAGCGTGGGCAGGTGGGAGGATGTTGCAGAGTACAAGATCCCTGAGTCCGTAGTGGGTCTCCTTGGGAGAAAAAGCAGTGGGAGTGACTTACGGGAGCAACTCGCAACCTTCCTTGCTAGCTTCCCCATTGACTTTGCTTGTGGGAAGCTGAGAGAGAAGGTCACAAATGATGACTATGTGACTGTGGGACACTGCAAACGTCGTAAGTGTGAGCCGGTTGCCAGGTGCCCAAATTGCAATCACATGACTGGGGGTGTTCTGCAATGGCTGGAACTTTGAGGACCGGGTATAAGTACCACTCATTCAATGCTGTAACTTTGAACGGTCACTGAACAAGTGGTTGTAACTTGAGGACTACCTATACTAAATTATTTTAACTTTATGCATAACCACTTTAGTACACACATTGTGTGTGTGAGACATATTCCATTACTTGAAAAAAAGAGTGGACAATTTAGTGATCGCTTGTATTTAGTCTGTGGAGTTTTAGAAGCATATTGACTCAAATTTCATTTAAACAAGAAAAACAGTCTCTAAGCAGAATTAAATTTGAAAATTTGAAGGCAAAATTTTCAAAATATAAATGCATGTAAGTAATTCCTGTTTTTTTGTTGTTGCTGTTGTTCAAATGTTTCTGTTCCTATATTTAAGGACTATAATTTATCATCTTTTAAGTTGTAAAGCAAGTTGTAAAATCTGATGGTGTAAAAATATGAGGCTATAAGCAATGTTATGTTGATAGACTTCTGCTGTTTCCTTCTCTTCCATTTCTAAACCTTTGGAAGAGATTTGTGAATCTCTTTCCAGAGAGGGGGAAGCTACTGGTAGGTAAGAGTATGCGTGTTGATCTGATAGCTGTTTCATTTTGTTGTTTGAAATAACTCATAATCTTTTTTAAAACGCACAGTAGTATAGTTTGCCTTTGCCACTGTGACAACTAAAGCAACCAGCTAACGAAGGCCTTACACTTGAGAATGCATTGTGTGTACCTTTATGCTGAACAAATTGCCTAACCTTGGATTATAATAATTAAGAAAATAAATTACTGGCTGTTGTGCAAAGTGCTTTTTGAAATCAGTAGGAAATCTACAGTGGATCAAAGATAATATATCCCCCAATCGATTCCTAGTTCAATTAAAGATGTAATTTAGGCCACCTTGCCAAACTGGTTTGACCTGCTGACCTTTCTTCCCTAGCCTTTTGTGTTTAGAAGAAATTACAATATTCTTCAAAGTAATGAGCTTTTAACTTTTGTTGAAATTTACATATTTATGCCTAATCACTTTGCAGAAAAATCTCTCCAATGACAATACAGATTACTTACACCAGGGATTTCTGTGGAGCTGAAAGGATATGTATTTTTCTTTCTCATCTCCTGTGACTCCTCTAAATCATTTATCCATATCAAAATAAAAAGGAAGCCTTTGAAAATTCAAGCAAAAATAAAGTAGCATTATTAAAAAAAATGAGATATTTGTTTATGGAAAAAACTGCAACTTTGGAATTAATTCACTAGTAGAGAAAGATGGCTTTGTAAAAAGGTCTTGAATATCTTAATTGAACTATTTGCTTTTCCTAACAACTGTCATTCCTTGTCAGTTTTCACAATTTGGTCCTCTTTGGTATTTTGGAACAGGAATGGGAATTTTCTTTCCTATTTAGATCTGTCCTACCTTTGGTAATATCTGTTTACCATTTAGCACTGGATAGATGATAGCCCAAAATGGGCGAGGCTGTTGCTCAAAATTAGAGATACGGATGTGACTTGCCTTTGTACAGTATCTAATGAGAGAAAAAAAAGACATTTGCATCCTGGTGTTCTTTTTCCCCAGCATGTTCAAGGCTTTCTCAGTGAGTTTTGTGGTTATGGAACAAGGCAGGATGGAGTAAAAATAAGATTGGTAAGCTTGAATGGAACCAATGATGGTGACCTGGGAAAGGTTTGAGGCCTAACTTTCAGGGGCTTAACAGTCTAGATATAACCCACAGATTCAAGCATGGACATCCACAGGGGGAGGGTGACGTGTGACAAAACACTGTAAAGCAAACTCTGCCTCTTATGTTATGCAAGGTTGTAACAAGTACAAAAGGGTGGAGCTTGTGTCATGATGTCATGCTACAAGTTTTGAAATTTTGGAATCGTAATGGTTACAAACAGGTGCCTATGGGTACAAGTGCCCAGGGTAGTTTGATGATACTTGGAAAATGTAGATTTAATTATTCCTCTTTGTTCTTTAAGCTATCAATGTGCAGGGGGAAATACCTTAATAAACCAAGTAGATGCCAAGAAGAGAACTTGAATAGAAACAAAATTATCAAATATCCTAGGAAAAATGTAAAGCTAACCTGCTTTTCTTCAACCCTGCAGGTTTTTCTGGAAATTGTATAGGCTGTGGAGAAAGGGGATTTCGATATTTCACTGAATTTTCAAACCACATTAATTTGAAACTCACCACTCAGCCAAAGAAGCAGAAGCACTTAAAGTACTACCTAATAAGGAATGCTCAAGGTGTGCTGTCAAAGGGACCTCTTATATGTTGGAAAGGTAAGAAATACTCTCTTTGATGTATGAGTGTGTGGGGGGTAGGGGTGAGAATTTAATTCTAGAATGGCTAAATTGTTTTTGAATGCTTTTTCTTAAAAGGGGGAATTTCCAGATGATATGATATAGTAAACCTATCTTTTCAGTGTGTAGGACATGATATATGGTTTTAAGTGTTTCTTATCAGCCACTGAAGGACCTTTCTACATGTTACATGACAGTTTTCTGGATAAATCTAGGTTTATCCAGCTATTTGGTGGGTGGGGGTGCAATGCTACTATTTATAGGCACCGTTTTCTTGTTGGATAGAAATTCTGACCATTATAGTCCCAACACATAAGAGAACACCAGGTTATGGAAGACCGTTATATGGCAGCAGAGCTCGGTTTGCAATTAGACACGCAATCAACAGGAATTACAACCAACCTTGTTTTTGTACCAAGGGAATCTGAAGGATAGACATATTTCAAATAGCTTGCGTTTTATTGACATATCATGTAATTTGCAAAGAAGCCTTGAAAGATTAATCCACTTGTACAATCTGCTTCTGTGCACATGTAAGTAAATAGCTGCTGTGGACATATATAGAGGATTTGACAAAGAAATAGTGATTGATTTTATTCAAACAAATTCTGACATGAACAACATTTAGAAGTAACTTCAAAGGATGTAGAAATTCATATTTAAAATACATTAATTTTCTCTTGCAAAGTAGTTAATTTCTTCTTAATCTTACCCTCCCAATAAGGAACACAGGACAATTTGTGCCTCAAAGCAGCCTATAAAGTAGCGAGGTTGAAAAATCAGAGTTATGCTGATGTCAGTGAAAAGACAAAATATAATTGAATGCTTTTAGAATGCTAGCCTAAGGGAGTCATGTATAACCGGGTGTGATTTTTTTCTAGTTGGTGGAAGATCATATCATTGTTCTTCCCCCCCCCCCCCAAAAAAATCCCCAAATTCAGCTATATTTTGGGAGTTTAGCCTCCACCAAAAAAGAGAGTTTTATGACAACAGGTTGCCCACCTCTGGTCTAGTACAGTCTATAAGTAAACACTAATAGCACAATTGTATGCATGTTTCCTTGGAAGTAAGCCATACCTGCCTCAGTGGAGCTCACTCCTAAATAGGTGGCTGTAAAAATATAGCGTAAGAAACGTGTGAAGATAGTGGAGGTAAAGAATTTAGCTTAAACTAATAAAAATATCAAGTTCAGCAGAAACAGCTTAGAGTAAAACATGGGATTCCAAGAACACAAGGCAATTGATGATAGGCATATATGGATATTTATTCCAGAAGTTGCTGAGAAATCATGTTTAACTTGATTGTCTTATTATATGTTTTTTTTTCCAAGAAAGGAGATCTTCCTGAAAATATCCCAATAGTCCAATCCTATGGCAGTTTAGACTGTGTTTTCTGTGTCAGCAGCTTCCCATTGTCATGGCCTAATTAATACAATATTCCTGTAGGTGTGGTTGTGCTTAGTGATGTGCTCCCTCTGTACCCTCCTGTGACTTATGCAAGGCCTTATACGGTATATTGGAGCTACACAATGGGCTTCTCTAGTGCAATGCCCTAGAAGTGTTTCTGTATGAGGGATATACTGATGTTGCAGTTCTGTAAGAGTCCTTGCTTCTGATGCAAGGGTCCTTTTCCCCCCATGCACAAGAAACCAGGGGAATGGTAGTATCAGACATATTTGATGATCTCTCTGCGTGAAGTGCTTTCTCTGAAATTATTCTTCTATTTCCCCTCACAGAGTTAGGATCATAGCTGCTGCATGAATTTTTTAAGGGTTTCTAAGCTGAAAATAATCTTTAGTTAACAAATTCCAAAAACTTTGCTTTTTAGTTAACTCTTTTGATTGCACAATAGCTGTCTTTTGTTTTGTTTCAAATGTTGTGATGTGCTTTTAAACATTGCATATAATATCTGTTCTGCTGCATTGTTTCACTGTCAATCTGGCTGCTTAAATATGTACTATAGCTGCTTTACTTGCAGAATGTAGAAGCAGGCAATCTGTTGCTAGCCATTCTGCTAAACCTAGTTCTTCAGCATCTCCATCTGTGACCCCTGAGAGTGGAACAGCCAATGGATACAAGCCAGGGTTCACCCAGACAGGTAGGAGCTGAGAGTCCATTGCATCCTAGAGCTGACACTTGTGAAGTAGTGATTATGATGCCATTACCTTTGTAGCTGTGAAGCCCCCAATCATAAGATTTGAAGCTGCTCTAGTTTAAGTAGAGTCCTACTGTATGTCTAAAACCATTATGTAATAAAAGATTTTAAGTTATAACTTACTCTGGAGTCTGTGTTAAGAAAGAACACAATAGTTGCCATCAAAGGGTAAACTACTCTAGCATGGTGGATCTTCAGTATATATATTTGTTTCAGTAAGGTTTGCAAAGATGTCCTGTTGAAGAACAGTAAAAACCCTTTGGGGCCCTTCTCCCCTCAGGATTTTATGACAGGTTATCTCTTCCCATTGTTCATATGTTGGTGGGAGGTCTGGGGAAGGTTCATGATTCATTCATACAGGCTACCTGCATATTTTGGAGTCCTATGTGGAGAGTAAATATATAGACCAGGTCTCACTTCAGGCCTTGCACCACAATGTGTGTAGTACTGAAGTGAAATCTTGCAAGAGTATAATATCACAAAAGAACTAAAGCTGCAGAACAGCCCCTTTAGATGGAGGATAATTTCTGTGTTTGGCATGATCTGTTCCCAGGCCATTGGGATGACACTTTTCTTTTTCAGTTGTTTAAGTGCTCCACTGTTTTCATAAGGTCAAGGCTAGGATCTGAATAAACAACTACTTCAAAAAGCTCTCCATGATTTATTGTTGTCTGATGAACACATATGTTAATTTAAATTGGAACAAGGAATGTTACAGCCAATTTAATTATCTTTTTTTCTGATTTAAAGACTGAAAGTATTTCCAGGTGAGGTTTTAATGTGTTGTCTTCCAGCTTCATTCACAGAATTTTCCAGTGGTTCTTTGTAATCTCTGGTGTTTTCCCTCAAATTCTTTCATCATTTTTCTTATCACAGAAATATGTATTAAAGAGGAAAACAATCACACAGTTTGTTTTCATTAGTAGTGTTACGAGCTATCCATCTCAAAACATCTGATCAATATACTACTTCTTTTTGTCTCCTCCATATCTCAGGGACAGATAATTTCTGCCCGCCTTAATTATACTTAAGTGTTTAGTTGGGATTAGTGTTAACGAGGATCAAAGATAGATTTGTCCTGGATCACAATTATAAATTCAATAAAGTAAACACAATCTCTGCAGCTGTATAGATGTTTCCAATTCTGAGTAGTTATCATTTCAACAGTTTTTTGTTTCTACACCAATATGAAGTGGCCAAATAGAACTTTTAATTTTACTCTTTGTTCCTTAAGACCACTGTGGCAATATCCATACCTACCAAGAGTGACATATTTGCAGTGGAAATATATCTGCATTATTAAACAAGAGTCATATTAATTATCAGTACCTTACCCACTCTTCAGGAATATTCAGAAATGGAAAATACCGTATCACAAGTGTTTAGCAGGGTCCACTATGTATTCTGTGGTTAATCATTCTTTGAAAGTATAGGAATTATGTATATATTTATGGAACCTTCTCAGCCAGCCTCAAAATATTTCAGTAGATATTGAGAGAATGGTTAGAATGTTATTTTGTGAAATCATTGACTTTCATGGTTTCTTGGCATGGAAATGTCATTACAAAGGAAGCTCTTATATCTGCAGTAATGTGTAAACTAAATAGTTTTGCCTTGGGTTACTTCTGCCAAATCGGTAAATCTACCTTTTTTGCTCTCCTTTTTCTTATCAGCTCATTATGGTTTTGTTTACTTGGTCCTTCCGTATGTGTGTTTATTGTTCAGGTCAGAGTTGCTAAACTATTTTTTACCTGCTGCTAGAAGTGTAGTCTTTCACTGAAGAAACAGTCACATTATTTATTTATTTTATTTTATTTATTTAATTTGTCCCCGCCCATCTCCCCACAATGGGGGACTCTGGGCGGCTTACAACATACTAAAAAACATGAATACAGTTAAAAGTTATAAAACCAAACATTAAAAAGATAAAAAAAGCTAAGAAATCGGAAGCCACAAGTGAATAAATAGTAAATCCAAGAGGCCACTGGGGCCACAGTGTACCTTATCAATTTGTCCCCGCCCATCTCCCCACAATGGGGGACTCTGGGCGGCTTACAACATACTAAAAAACATGAATACAGTTAAAAGTTATAAAACCAAACATTAAAAAGATAAAAAAAGCTAAGAAATCCAAGAGGCCGCTGGGGCCACAGTGTACCTTATCCTTGTCAATCCATTTCAATTTCACCAGCAAGGTTGTGTGGGTGAAAAGAGGTGCTTTATTCAATGTATATTCTCTTTTTGTTTCAAAAAGTACTGTGGGAGCGACTCAAGGCAGATTTTTTAATATGTCAGGGATTATTGATCCACATAATCACAGACACAAATCCACATAATCACAGACACAAATCAGTGAGGAAGCCACAAGTGAATAAATAGTACTGAAGGTTCTGAATAGCATTATAAGAACCATAAATAAATAAAAATACAGCAGCGTTTGAAATAGCCTTCCCCAGTTTGCTGCCCAGGAAAGGTGTTAGACTGTAACCCATATTATCCCCAAGGTGATGATGTAATCCAGCATACCTGGAAATCAACAGATTGAAAAAGGTTAGCCTACAAAGATAGTACTAGGTAATGCAGTCTCCTCCTGAAATTCCAGTTGTTCAAATTGTGATTCACTGACAACAAGAACAATATTTTAAAATGAACTGGTTTATTATGGCATAAACTTTCATGGATTAGAGCAGGGGGAAAATATTTCAGACTTTATTTACCAGAGTATTGAGGTTCATCAACTAGAATTTGGTATAAATAACATACAATACCATTTAAAATTAAGGAATTTATTTTGGGTATCAGGACCAAATGTAAGCTGCAGACATTCCATACAGAAATCCATTCCCAGTCATCTACTTCCACACAAGCTTTTATATTTCAGCAGTATAATTTGGAGTGGGTGGTAGGGAGGAGTCCTTTTATTATATGATTGTAGAAAAAATGGAGATGTAAGCATAATTGTTCATTTTCTGCTAATTTTTATGAGATCTCCTGATATATTGCAGTCTGCTTTTGCATTTTTCTGGATTAGTGTCTACTTCATGTTTCATAAGACTTATGCATTAATAATAATTCCTCTAGGAGTTCCAGGTGGTTTACCTCAGATGTGCCTAATTTTATCTGTGCAAGGTATAAAGTGAGTTGGACTGAGAAAAGGTGACTGGTCCAAAGTTGCCAATAACCAACATGGATGAGTGGAGATAATTTCCCCTCTAGAAATAAATTCATACTATATTATGCCTGCCAATTAATAATGCATCTGCTCTTCTTGAGTGATGGTGGTGGCGGCAGTGATGAGGATGGTGATAAAATAATAATAATCTATTTATGCTGGGGGGAGGCACATGAAGATATACTCCTGCTTCCTGATGGTATGGTTGGGAGTGGGGGGGGGTTGGAACTGGAAAGGTGTGAATGGCATGGTAAATGCTGTTTCTGCTGAAAGGTTCTGTAGCTACAAGGCCCATCCATGAATTGATTTCATTTATTAGGAAAGGTCAGTAGTATGGCAGAACTGGAAAATCCATAGAGTGTCCTTCATTAATGGGATCCAGCTGGCTGTTGTCCTTGTTGGCCTTCCCTCAAGGGAAAGAGCTCCCTGGGATTGCCTTGTGAGGTGGAGGTGCAGATGAAATTAATCATAGTGCACTTGACCTCTTTGTGAAGGTTCCCCTGCACTGACTAGTGAATCACTTCACTATTGCTTGATTTGATTATGTGCCATCAAATCAATGTGACCACATAGATAGACCTTTCCAAGATGATTTGCTCCCAACAGTGCATCCATCACCACTGTAATCAAGTCTTCCACCTTGCTGCTGGTTGTTCTCTTTTATTCTATCTTTCCACCTTTCCCAGCATTATGGGCTTCTCAAGGGAGCTGGGTCTTTGCATAATGTATGATCATTTGAGCCATTGTGCCTCAAGTGAGAACTTGGGATTGATTTGTTCTATGATACATTTGTTTGTTTTCTTGGCTGTCCATGATATTCACAGGAGTCTTCTTCAACATTAAAGTTCAAAAACATCAATACTGTTTCTGTTTTACTTCTTCAGAGTCCAACTTTTGCTTCCATAGAGTTCACAGGGAAAACCTTGATCTTTGTAGGTATAAGTATGTCACGACATCTGAATATCTTTTCCAAGGCTTTCATTGCTAACCTACCAAGTCTTAGTCTGCCGTGTATTTCATGACTGTGGATTCCTTTACTGTTGATTGTCAATTCTAAAAAGAAGCAGCTGTCCACCAAACTTCACTGTCATTTCTAAGGACAGTTGCTGTACCTGTTATCATTTGTTTGATCATCTTTATATATGTAATTGTAATCTCATTTCTTCACTGTGGCTTTCTGTTCTGTGTATTTGTTTTGCATGAGGTGTGGAGAGCTATGGAGATGACCTTGGAGAAACTATGCAGAAAAGGTTACAAAAACAAAAGGTTACAAAAAACAAAAGCATTCATTAAGCCTGAGAAACAAAGAAAGCATTAGAAAGAAGTTCTTACTAGCTCCACCCTAATCAAGTGGGGTATAAGAGGGAGGGAAGGGAAAACGCAGGCGGGCTTTCAAGATTCTGTTACTATAGCCTATATCAATGAAGCATAGTTACAGTCAAAATGGTAGGGTCTATTTCCTAACCTGGCCTGCCTTGAAGGCCTTGAAGGGCTAACATGAAAACAGTGAGATGTTCTGGGATTCCCATTTTCTTAAGGACATTCACAACTTGACATGGTTGATACAATCAAAGACCTTTCTATCAATTAAGCATATATTGACACTTCTTGGTATTGTTTGGCATTCTCAATTGTCCATTGTACATCAGCCATAATATATCTTGTTCCTCAACCTTTTCTAAAGCCATTTTGAACATCTGGTATTTCCCATTCCAGGTAGGGCTCTGATTTGTATTAGATCATCCTGAGCATTATTTTGCTAGTGTGTGAAATTAAATATATTATGTGATAATTTGTATGTTCTGTTAAGTCTCCTTTCTTTGGTACTGGTATGTAGACTGACCTCTTCCAATTTGTTGGCCACTGTGTCATTTTCCAGATTTGCTGGCATAGTTCAGTTAGAACTTTCATGCTTCTTCTATTGCTTTCTGTAGAGATTCCACCAATGTAGCCTTTTGACTTGATAATGATCGTGCTGATCCAACCTCTTTTTCTTAGCTATATTAGATGATGGCCTTCCTACTGTACAGCATTGTTCCATTTTTCTTTAAATCAGTTATTATTTGTTCACTGGCATCCTTCATACCAATTTGATGCTGGAAACTTCTTTTGAGTTTAGAAATTTTTGGAAGGCTCTCCCTGTTTTTCCATATCTGCTTCTGTCTTCCTTGTCTCTTCTAGCAGCTTTCTGAAATTCTTAGTTTTCTCCTTGAGACGTCTATCTTTTTTGGCTTTGGACTCTTTTTTCATCTTGGTAATTTCTACCAACTGTTCTGACATCCAGTTTGCTTTCTTCTGTTTCTTGGTCTTTGGCAGTATTCACATTCATTCTTAAAACTTATTTGATTTCATTCCATAGTTACAGTGGTTCCCTCTCAATAAGGTTCAGGACTTCAGAGAGATTCCTGCTTGAATATGGTGGGTATATGCTTAAGATCATATCCTAGAAACTGGTTGGTTTGTTCTTCCACTTTAGCTTGACTTGGAATTTGTGCATGAGCAGTTTGTGATCTGTTCCACAGACAGCCCCTGGCCACATCTTTGCTTCTATAACTGAGTCTTCTACTTCCTTCTACCAATAATACAGTTAATTTGATTTCCATGAGCCCCATCTAATGATATCCATTTATATAGGCATTATTTTTAATATACAACCATTACGTATCTTATTCAGATGGATTCAATTATTGTAATATAACTTGTTCAGTATAGCTAAGAAACCCAGAACTGAGTTTGTTGGGAAGGGAAAAGAGTTGGAGAAGACTGGCTAAAGATAAAGTAAAATCTCCTTTGAGTTGAGCTCAACTCCTGGTAACACCAATGTAGTTTTCTTGGCAATAGTACACAAGTTCCTATTGCCTCTTTTTAGGATTTTTTTACCTCCCAGTCCTGGATTTTCCTAGTAGTCTCCGATCCAGTAATTAAACATTTCTAACTCTGCTGAAGATTGGTTTGGTGCTACTACCAAACCAAGTGGCAAGCTACTTCTGCAATTTAATTTTAATCATATCTGTAGGGAATATATGGGTGTATGGCAATACGGATCCTCTCCTTTCCCTTTTACAGTTGAGGAGAAGAGGAAATATGTAATTTGTTATGCAGCTGTTGTAGATCCTTGTACTATACAACTCTTGAAGGTACAAGAGTTCTCTTTCATCTGAGTTTGGCCACTCTGTTCCTCTTTTCCCCAGACATATATCCTTGGTTTAGGTCCTCTTCCTAGAACTTAATACTAATATGTGGATTAGCTTTCCATTATTGCTGTTCTAGAATAAATGGAAGGCAAGGCAGATAAAAATAGTTTCAGGTCTAGAAATGTTGCATACTTGGCTTAGATTAGTATATAATTACTGTTATGCTTCTTTTAAAAGCAGAATAAGACTGTGGCCTCAAGGGAGTTTCCTTTGTAAGCTATATTTGCTACTATTCTAGAAAAGATATAATTATACATCTTCTCTTCCTCTTATTCATTTTTAATTTTTTGTAATAAAAATCTTAAATGTATATTGCACTTTTTCTCCAAGAAATTTAAGGTGAGATCTCTGGGTTATACCTCATTTTATCCTCAGAAGAACAATCATGGGGTTGATTGTGACTGACCAAAAATACCCCTAGTGAGCTCTCTAGTCAAGTGGGGACTTGAAGTAAGATCTCCATAGCCACAGATCTCCCTCCAGCCAAAATCCCCCATACATGTGGAAGGTGCCAGGTTGGGTAAGGTAGTGTAGATCTTTGTCATTCTACAATTTGTTTTCTGTGTTTTCTGGTTAAAAATATTCAGCTATCCTGCCATTATGTGTTGACAGGCCCCCAGGCAAATCGTTTTGGAAAATAGGGAAGGGAGGAGAAAATTCTTTTCTGGATTCCTTGTCATATTTCCATGTACTGGTGTCTCTCCTAAGACTTAACCATGTTACAGCTCAGTCAGTCCTTTGGCAAATGAGAGTTTTAATGTCCATTCTCTAACTGGCCAGTGTTCCCCTTTCTATATTTCCTTCCCTCCCCTCACTCCTGAAAGTTGTGTATTGTTTCCAGGGTCTGTGATCTTGGCAGGGCTTTTTGGAAATGTCCCTTCCCTCTTCTTTTTGCCTTTTCTCCCTGACTACTTTCAGTAGGATTGGTACAGTTTCAAACTAGCCTGTTTGCTTTTCTTAGATTAATTTATCTGGCGAAAGCCAGTTTACATTGTTTCCAAGGAAAAGTTCATTGTTAGGTCACAACAATTTCAGACAAGTTGGGTATATCAACAACCTAGAGAAGAAGATTGATCCCATGTTAAAATGTAACTTGGGGACAAAAGAAGTCATTTGTATACATTTGTAAGAGCAGGAATACAGTTCAGTATATTGGAGCTGTTTATTTCTAGGGCTGTGTAATCTGTCATAAGAACACCAAAATTATGGATCAAAATCAACAATATTCTGTGCTAAGAAAAGTTGAATTCTGCAACTTATAAGAAAATGCACAGTTTACATAATGTATAGATTAAATTATCACGTAGTTCATTCTGCTTTTGTCAGGACTATCTTGTACTCTGGACTACAACTTTCATCATTATGAGTCAGCAAGGCCAGTACCCATGCTGGCTGGGAATTATGCATAATATTTTGAGTTCATCTGATTGGGGAAGAGTATATTTTAGTTCAACCGCACTTTAAGTAATTGAGAATTCTAGGCTGTGATAATGAGGTGGGACTGTGCCTTAGTTTTAAGTCATCCATTAAGCATTATTGATAATGACATCACTTAGAAATGCATATTCCAGGGAAACAAGAAGAAGAAAGGGGTACTAAAAAGCTACAAAAGACCTAGAAGAAGAAAGGAGAAACCACACATGTATATAATGGAGCATAAAGAAAGCCCATTGCTCAGGCCTTGTGATGTACAGCATATTGGGCAATATGAAAGTATTTAGAGCAGAGATCCACCCATTTAGTCTTGCCTCAGTAAACAATTAAACTTGCCCTTGATTTTTTATTGCATGTCTGTTTGAAGTCAGAGACGGTCCTTTGAAAGAAAGGGATTTTTTTCTGCAGTGAAACTGTATTGTACTTCCAAAGTTTTCAAACTACTAGCATCAAAATAGGAAGTTCTCCATAATATGGATCCACAATTATTATTGTCTAGATATGTATTAAAAGCTGCTCCACCTGGCTTCATTGGGAGCAAATAGGTTAGAAATGTAAGAAAAAATAAGAGGGCATCATTGATCGTGCCTACAGTTGTGCTGCATTTTTAAGGTGTCCCAATTGCTTCCAAAGTCCTGTACAACCTTAATGATGATTTCCCTGCCTCTAGTTTCAAGTTTGGAAGGAAGATCCAGCTTGCCATATTTTCCATGGGAAATAGAGTGATAGAGTTGTAGTTCTCCCAGCTCAACAGGAGCAGTTCAGAAATCCTGAGCTTGATGATTTTAGAAGTTGAAAGGAATAGCAGCAATCATTATTAGACACCGTCATTAGTATGGTAAGCAGAGATACAGAACACCCATCTTTCTTGGATTAAGGAAGAAGTCTGTTCTGGCATTTCAGAGGCACTGGGGACTCAGCAGACTGCTGGTGAAATAAAGGCTTGAGCTAAGCTGCTGGTCCTGATAAATACCAGTTACAATCTATGCATCATCATACAGATTCTCTTTGTCTTTTATTTAGCTTTCTCACTTGATTGGGCCCCCTGTGCCATACAGTGCAATTACAGATAGGTCAGACCAATGTATTTGTCCTTCTCTCCTAGTGTTTTGTCTTTAGTCAGGCAGACTTTGGAAATACTACATAAACTGAATGGTACAAGAGAAAAGAGAGTTAGGATAAGTGTACTATATAGCCTTGTAGCATGGTGTAACCATGTTTGATAACAGTGAAAAATATTTGGCTCCAATTTAATACATACTCAGATTTGTTTCTGTTAGATATGCTCTAGTGAATATGCTATTGTGAAGAACAAAAACAAATCTGCATATTCTTTGGGTTGTCGATTTATTCCTTCTTTATACATGTAGTAAAAGGATCTTGCATCTACTGGATGGATGTAGGAGTTTAGACTATAGTTCTGTACCTAGTTACTGAGTAGTAATTCTCATTGAAAAGAATGGTACTTTTAAGTGTATCAGTATAGGATTGTGCTATTTGTCTCCTAAAATGTGGAATTATGTGGAACTATATGCAGGTGTCTCTTGTGAAAATAATGGTAACACTCATAGGTTAATTCTTCAAAGATTCAGTCTAATCGTATGATCAATATTAACATTTATAAACAACTGGAATGGGGGAGGTGCATTATAAATTATAAATATGATGATTTAATAATTTTTCAACATTCATAATGGCTTCTGAAAAGAATTGTTGTGATGATATCTTAGACAAATTTTTCAAAAATGTAGATTTAAAAAAAATAGTTACAACTATCTCTTTGACAGAGTCCTCGGTATTCAGTGAAGCACAGTCTTCCTCTGCTGTTAATTTAAGTGGAATTCAAGACTTGACTCGGAATAAGAACATAGTGAGACCACTCGCTTTGCCTGTGCAACTTGTAGGAAACACGTTTGCAGCAGGTAATATCTTTCACTTGAGTTCATTGGAATCTAATATTACTTTGACTCTACTATGTAAAAGTAATATGTAAAATCTCACAAGATGCAAGTAATTTGCTATAGAATTGCCTTTGTGGAATAAAGCAGATGATAAATACCTCATACTTCCAAATGTCTTCTAGCTGGTGCCCTTCAGATATGTTCAACTCTTGCCATCCTCAGCTAAATCAATCAGTGTAATGGCCTATAATATATCCGAAAGGCTCCAGGTTAGTGAAGACAACTTTAAAATGATGCTGTGGTCAAATCAGGTTTCTATGATGTTTATTACCAACACTAGAATTACCAGTTCTAGGTTGCAACAATCTAGTTAACCAGTAGATAGCAGCAAAGAATTAGAAATTTCTATATTTCCTTTGCTGCCATCTAGTGGTTGACAACTTTTTGTAGTTCAAATCTGGTAGCTCCAACTGATGCACCAATTCTACTGGAATGTTTTTCACTAACTTCATTTATTTATTACATTTATAATTTGTATTTCATCTAAGCAATTAAAGTGATTTAAATGGATTCCCCCTTCCTCATTCTCTTCCCTTCCTCATTTTATCTTTGCTCTAAGAGATAAGTTGGTGAAGTTAAGAGGTTGTAACTAGCCAGGATCAACCTGTGAGTTTCGTTGCAGAACCTGAGTCATCCCACTTTTAGTTCTTAATCACTGACTATATCATTTTGACTCTCATCTTTAACAGATTAATATTCTGCACTAATTTATTTATTAAATAATAAACCCACTAAAACACAAGGTTGAAACATTGTGGGATCTGTAAAATGTTCAGTTTCTGCATTTGGACTCCAACTGGCAGTTAAAGTTGCCAGAACTCCATCATTCAAATCTCATTTAATAATTTTGTGTAAAGTAAGCCATCAGTTTGACAAAGATTATGCCCATAAATTTGTATTCTACTAGTTATTTTTAGTTCTTTAACTTTTTAGTCTTATTTAGTCTTATTCCTTTCTATGTACCACTTTATTTGCACCATACCATTATAGTTTTTATAGTTACAATATCAATATTTAATACAGTTTTACTTGTAAATTTTAGTGAGATAGTGATTGTATATTTCATGTTAACTATATTTAATTAATTTTAGTTTTTAATTAGTTTTAGTTATTTTTCCATAGTTTCATAGTTAATGTCCAACTTATAGATTTATATATTAACATCCAAATTCTCTTCTGTACTCATATTTGTCTTCATATGCTTAATCTTACAATCTTAACAGTGTCACAATTTTATAGTTTGTGCTGGTAATTTCTCACAGTGTGTCGACTACACGACTATCATAATGGGTTCTCTGTAATTTTATTATTGCATGTTATTTTATATTGGTCAGTTACCATAATAAGGATATTCTTATTCTATAAAGTGAAATCCAGGTTTCACATCTGGAATCACAAGAGGGGAGATTATAGATACCTCCACCAATGTCTGTTTCTGCCTGAATTCAACTAATATGAATGGGTAACACAATTCAGAATTAGTGAATTTTACCCCTTCCTGGAATCTACAGTGAATCTGTATATCCAAATTATGAGCATTTTGGCTATATACTTAAAATAGTGCCTCAAACATTAAAGACTGAATCGTGTGCACTGTTACTTGGAAATTAATTCCATTGGGACTTCCTGGGGGGAGGGGGGTATGGTGAACTGAAGACAGCTCTGTGAAAGTAGAGCCAATGACCGTGGCAAAGACCAAGGAACCAGTGAGTAGACCACCTTCTTGGAATGTCTCCGGATAAGGAGAGAATGGGAGATCACCCACATGTGATCCGGATGGCTGCTCCTTGTGAGGAGACCGCAGGATTGCAGCTTTCCACAGGTTTGAGCACCAGGAGACGATGGGATTAGCCATCTTGCTTGCAACTGTGGTGGAGCCTTTTAAAGGACATTAAGTTCGCAAACCTCACTTTCTAATCACTTTCAGAAATTGCCTATTAATCATCTTAAAGCTGTTAGAGACCTTTGGAATGACAAGTTTGAAAAGTCTTCATCAGATGAGTTTATCTTCAACTCTAAACAAAATAAAAATTAATTATAAGTTTCTTCTTTAACTTTATTACAGTCAGTTAGACCAGTACATATTATAAGTTTAAGAACTTAAAGAATTTGAAATAAACAACAAAAAGCTAAAGAAGGTTTTGATCTAAGAAAGTTATAAATGGATTAAGGGTCCAGATAAA